TTGCAGCTTTCCCACTCAGCCGCACGTTGAAATACTTGTATCCGTCTCTGGGTATAACCCGAATCAGCTGCAAATGTATGATACACGAAATTGGCCGAGAAAACGCATGCTTGGTGAATATTATAATATCTTATTTGTTGCAGGTTAGTGGCTGTTATTAGGTTGCAGGCTTATGTTTTCAAAAAAGTTACGTTTCTAGTTTGGACAGCCAGTGCCCAACCGAATATGTTAGTTGGCATGTGCGGTTTCGTTGTGATGAAGACACATTTGTGCTGTTGCTTAGGGCAGTGACAGTAAAAAGCATTGGACACAGCACAATTGAACATTTGAAAAGTTTCATATTCAGGTTAAGGCCAAGGTTCACAGATCTAGTCTTATTTTGTGCACATGATTGATGTTAGCATCTTGTGCTATTGTCTACCTTGTTATTCTTCACATTTAGGGGGAATTCATTTCATTTTGTTTGCGTGTGGTGTGGACGAAAAGGTATCACACGTTGTGGCCATTGTCTTGCCCAGGCCGCCATACTTGTGACAAGCGACCTACGTAGCATGAGACAATAGATGTCTGTTGTTGCTAACACAGCGGTAGCAATATGATGGGTATAAACGATGTACGCCATACCGTCGGAGACGCCAATCACAGACACGCTTCGATTCACACATGGCTTAAATGAGATGTGTGTGCGCAGAGAGACATACAAGGTTTTACAATGGTTGTACAACTGATAATTTTCCGTTAAATTCACTCCGAGGTGCGGCATACACGAAATATGTATTGCTTGGTCTATAATAGCGCGTTTTTAATCTGATTTTTATGCATAGTTGTGTTTTGTAATTGCCAACACTTAATCGCCCGCATGTTATCGCATGTAAAAGTTGATGAGGGTGTCACGAGCCCCGGCTCCCCTGCTCTTGATTATGCCTTGTTTGTACCCGATTTCGCCATACAAATGCGAGGAAATTGTGATAAAAAGTGGTTCAGCGGGTGTCTTTGTGGCGGCCGATCCCAGTAGAGCCGATGCTGAGCTGGGTCATACCCGGGTCCCTGCAGCGTCCGGCCTCACCAAAGCCGGTGCAGAGGTCGGGCTCACCAGAGCCAGCTCAGCTGCCGATCCCACCAGAGCAGGGAAAGGCCGGGGAGAAATTTGGAGAGGCATGGAAAGATGGCTCGCCGGGGAAATGTACTTTCCTTTAGAACATTTTGACGTATTTTTGTCAGCATTGGTACGACATTTGGACCCAATTTTATCAGAGAGTTGAGGGTCGAGTTCACACAGCGGAGACCCAGACAAAAATTGGGAGCGGGTTCTTCAGAATGGAGGCATGGCCCTCGCAGCGCGATTCAAAGTTCCGCCCTGCGAAACAACAGCTGAGAAGCACAAGGAAGACGTTGAACAACTACTGTAGCGAGCGCGAACCATGGCGTTTGCAATGAAAAGGCCCTTCCTATCAAGAGTATTCGCGCGCAGTGTATTCGGTTCCCCATTTCCACAGCATTTTTAGAGTCGTGTCGGAAACGACTCCGTTTCAAACAGATACACTGACGGAGTCTACCGACTGCTAAACACAGCGCTTTAGACGCTTACGAAAAAGGCGCGTGAATCAGGGGGCCAGAAGGAGGGGGGGGGGGGGGGCTGAACCTTCGTCGCCCTGAAGAGCTTCCATTGACACTATGCATGGTGACTAGAAAGAAATATTAAACAAATGGATTTCGTTCCCCGGGCTTGGGACAACTTCTGGTTCCCATGACTGTGACAAGGACGTTCAACCTTCTGTAGAAGGTTTTGTGTTTGTGCACGCCTCATCAGAACGCTTGTACGTGTTCGAAATTTGTGTGACTAAGGCTGTGAGGTACAGTCCTCCACGTTTTCAAAGCTGTGGGGTATGTGTCTCCACGTCCCCAACAGTGCCACTGCCCCTGTTGATGGGGATATACAAGCTCGCATTCCAGATCTTTGCAACCGGGTCATCTCGGATACACACTGAGCGTGTTAATCATGGCGAGACAAAGCGTAAACCAAGCGGAAATCAACTGAAGGTGAACTAAGTACGAAGTCAGAACTGGCCATTAGGTGATATGTGCTTGATGTAAGTGACCAACTTGAATAAAAGCAGGCCTGATTTCAGCTGCCTTTAACCTTCCATCGTTTTAACAGTCCAGCGACAGACACAAAATGGCAAAAATCTCTGCTCGCTCTTGTTTCAGTGATGTCGGCCTTGAGTTCGAGCGTGTATTACATATCTATGAACTGAATTAACTATGTCTATCGACGTTCGTCAGCGAGGTATTGAATATATCACACCGCCTACAGATACCAGCCCACTCAAATATCCCCTTAAGCCTTTGAAAACTGTGCAATTGAACAGGCCACTGCTGTGCCGACGCATTATACTGCACACGTCTTACGTACCTCGCACTGCTGTTGCGCTCACCAGCCCGCGCTGCCTCCTAGCCCCGGCGCCTGTTCAGTTCCTGACGGCTGTGAGCGTGCCACCAGAGCACTTGTCCTCGCCACACGCACTGGGACAGCAACGCCGCGTCTGGCTTGTCTCCGCGCCAGGCTGAGAGGTTCGACCTTTCGCTTATCAACAAGGCCGCACGCACTGCCGCGGCACCGCCGCGTCTGGCCTGTCTCAACGCCAGGCTGAGAGGCTGGCCATTGTTTTGTCTATCAGCAAGGTTGTCTGGTCTGTCCTGGTCGGCCCGGCAGACCGTTTATTTTTCAACATCGGGTTGTATGAAGGACAGCTACCGGCCCCTCCCACTTCGGAAGACTTTCAACCTCCGTGGGTTCATGGAGTGAGCAGTGTTTCTGTCATCCAACCACCCTCGCAGGTGTGCACGCTGAACAAGGTTACACTGTATTACCAGCTACAAAACCGTGCGCGCTCAAAACAATAGAAAACAACGATAAACAGCGTCATGGTGAAACAAATTAAAAGCTGCAGGGCATCAGTCACGGTATGGGATAGGCAACGTTGTAAACTGTCAAGAAAATCTCCAAGCTCCTTTTAAAGGAACGGGACCACAATCCCGATAAATGAGGATCTGTTGTACACGGGACACGACAAGCAAAACATCATCTCCAAGCCTAGGGGCGGACGTTTGAAGGACGAAGGCAACCGTCCTGCCGTTAACGTCAAGGGCGAACATCCCTTCGGTGAAATGAGGGGCCGGAGGAGACAGGTGAGGGCCGACCGAAATTAAAGCAGATGTTGGCGATGATCAGCAGCGTTACAGCAACAGCAGCACAGCAGCGGCGCAGTTTAAGGTTAGGGGCGCACAGCCTACCAGCGCCGCAGGCTGGCGTGTTACACGTGCTACTCGTCTTTTGTTTCACGGTCGTATATTCAACAGCGGAGACAGAAAAGCGCACGGGCCTGCACGGGTTACTTGACGACTAAATTCCTCGGGCACTGGTCCCCGTTCACCCGCTCTGCGTGCGGCACGCAGTCCTTCCTCGACGAGGTTTGTACTCAGTTCCTCAGCGTCGACCGAAGTGTGACTCGTATGTCCCTGCTGTGGTCCTGCCGTAGCCTGGCGGGAATTTCGATAAACAGAGGCCGGCCCTTGTTTGAAAATGCGCCGTTCTAAATGTTCTCGCGCGTCCAGGCGCATCGCGGAGCTCACGGCTGGTCTTCAGACGTGGTGATCGCCCAGATCGCCGCCGGCTCGCCGAGCACCACGGGCCGCACACTGCTGTCCGACCTCGAGATGCCCCAGACATATGTTAAGTGCTCTGGTTTGTAATTGCTTGTTCGCTTCGTTGGTGCACATGAGTCAAAGATAGAGCAAACAATCCTGAAAAATGCTGTTATTGGTCCCAGGTCTCTCTGTCTCTTTCTGTCTCTGTCTCTGTCTCGGTCTCAGTCTCCGTCTCGGTCTCATTCCTCTGTCTCGTCTCAGTACTCAGTCCTCAGTCTCTTTCTCTCTCTCTCTCGCTCTCTCGGTCCCCCCCTCCTCCTCTCTCTC